GAGAGAGAAAGAGGAGAGAAACAGTATATGCAGGAGATACATAGATCTGTTGCCTCTAGCATGCCCCCAAATGGGGAGCTGGCCCCCAACCCAGGCATGTGCCCTGACTGGAAACTGAATCAGAGACCTTTCAGTTTGCAGGCCGGTGCTCAATTCACGGAGCCATGCCTACCAGGGCTTTCCCTTTTTAGATTATGAAAGTCTTCTGAGCATGCCCTTATCTTGCACATCAGCATATCCCTCAAATCTCCAGTGCCTAGCACAGTGTAAAGCACATATACATTTAAAACTGTCTACTCAAATACTGAAGTACTTAATTTTACCCTATTTTAAATTGAATTAAATTCAGCACATGTACTGATGTTTATATATCAGGCCCTGTGCTAGCACTTCATAAACCTTTCAATCCTTAAAACAAGTGTACAAAGTAGATGTCCCTGTATTACAAGAGTGAATTTACTCGTCCAAAATCATAGCTAGAAAGAGACAAATCTTAGGCCATTCCAAGGGCCATTTACACTTACCACTAAACAAACCTTTTCAACATAGGCCCTGTCCTCAAAGACCTCCTAGTCTGGTAGGGATAATGGTGACCAATTCAATGCATATGATCACAGCTAAAATAGTGACTAGGCTCAAAATACTAAGAAAATAAAAAAAAAAGAAAGGCCTGGGAGAAGCAGGGAAGTTTGAAAGGTGACGACTTTTTATTAAGAATAAATGAAAGGCCCTGACTGGCCCTACCTGGGACTGCAGGTTCAGTCCCTGGCAGGGCATGTACAGGACAACTGATGGATATTTCTCTCTCACAGAGATGTTTTTCTCCCTCTTTTTCTCCCTCCATATCCCTCTCTCTAAAAGTAAATAAGTAAAATCTTAAAAAAGAAAAAGAAAATCCTGTAGCAGAGAACACTGTTCTTTGACCTGTTCAGAACACTTGTCTGTTGTCTGTTTTCTTCCAATCCGTCCTCTCCTTTTTCTTCACTTTCCTCACTATCCGGATTAGATTCCATAGTCTATTATTCAAACAATAGTGACCTTGACCTCCCTTTAATTCTGTCTCTACAGTTCACCTACACACCACAACCCTTACACTAGTGCAGACATTAGAATCCATTCTAGCTAGGTAAAGCAGAAAGGGACTTACTACCAGTTACTATGTAGCTTATAGAATACCTCAATAGCTATAGAAACAGGCTCTGGTAGAACTTTCAGGAACAACCCCTAACCCACAAGAAAAAAAAAGTCTTGCCAAAATCAAGAAAGTCACGTCTGTCATTGTAGAAAGTCACTAAACTAAAACACTGTTGACTAAGAAACTCACTGCTTCTGCTACGGTACCTGCCAGAGAACTGGATGCCTCTCGCCCTTCTCTGCACACTTCACTCAGTTCCACATTCAATCCCCATCTAAGGTATAAAGGAGGCCCAGAGATCTTTTTTTTCCCCCCAAAACAACAGATTTTTTAATAATATATTTTGTTGATTATGCTATTACAGTTGTCCCATCCTCCCCCCCCCCACTTTATTCCCCTCTGCCCTGCACACCCCCTCCTACCCACATCCCCCCACCTTTAGTTCATGTTCATGGATCATACAGATAAGTTCTTTGGCTTCTACATTTCCTATACTATTCTTAACCTCCCCCTGTCTATTTTCTACCTACCATTTATGCTACTTATTCTCTGTACCTTTCCCCCCCCCTCACTCCCTTGCTGATAACCCTCCATGTGCTCTCCATTTCTGTGGTTCTGTTCCTGTTCTAGTTGTTCGCTTAGTTGCTTTTGTTTTTGTTTTCGGTGTGGTTGTTAATACCTGTGAGTCAGTTGTCATTTTACTGTTCATATTTTTTATCTTCTTTTTCTTAGATAAATCCCTTTAACATTTCATATAATAAGGGCTTGGTGATGATGAACTCCTTTAACTTGACCTTATCTGAGAAGCACTTTATCTGCCTTTCCATTCTAAATTAAAGCTTTGCTGGATAGCGTAATCTTGGATGTAGGTCCTTGCCTTTCACGACTTGGAATACTTCTTTCTAGCCCCTTCTTGCCTGTAAGGTCTCTTTTGAGAAATCAGCTGACAGTCTTATGGAAACTCCTTTGTAGGTAACTGTCTCCTTTTCTCTTGCTGCTTCTAAGATTCTCTCCTTCATTTTAATCTTGGCTAATGTAATTATGATATGCCTTGGTGTGTTCCTCCTTGGGTCCAATTTCTTTGGGACACTGACCTTCCTGAACTTCCTGGAAGTCTCTTTCCTTTGCCAGATTGGGGAAGTTCTCCCTCATTATTTGTTCAAACAAGTTTTCAATTTATTGCTCTTCCTCCTCTCCTTCTGGTACCCCTATGATTGGGATGTTGGAATGTTTAAAGACGTCCTGGAGGTTCCTAAGCCTCTCCTCATTTTTTTAAAATTCTTGTTTCTTCATTCTTTTCTGGTTGGATGTTTCTTCCTTCTGAGGAAGATCTGAGTCCCAGTTTCCTTCCCATTACTGTTGGATCCCTGTACATTTTCCTTCATTTCACTCAGAGTAGTCTTCATTATTTCATCTAATTTGCAACCAAAGTCAACCAATTCTGTGGGCATCCTGATTACCAATGTTTTGAACTATGCATCTGATAGGCTGGCTATCGCTTAGTGGCTTAGTTGTATTTTTTCTGTAGCTTTGATCTGTTCTTCCATTTGGGCCATTTTTTTTTTTTGTCTTGGCACACCTGAGCCACAAAAAGTTAAGTGCCTAAGGCAGGTTCTGCTGAAAGGACTGATGTGCAAGAATGACTTGAAATGTACAGGTAAAAATGCTGGAATAACTCGTCCCAGTGTAAAAAATCTACCTGCATCCACACCACTACAGTTCCTTAGAAGAAAGTACGTTCTTGGTGGGAGGGAAGACAGCTCTTTTCTTTCCAAGTTTTCCGCCTGCCACCTTCCTTCCCTCCAGCCCCAGAGATCATTTTTAGTGTCCCAGAATTTTCAGTAAGAGAAAGCACATTAGAGATGGGAATGTGTGTTAAGCAAACCAAATCCACAGTCCTTGCCATACATGGATAGATTTTTCTCCAAGACTTCACAAAATAGCCTGATATTGCTAGGGGGGAAAAATCATGATCTCCAACTTCAAATGGGCCCTTAATTTCTGCAATACCTACATTTCTCTGGTAAACTACTCCCCCACACTCTATGAGTTCCAAATCTTCTGCAATCTTCTAAAATCTTTGACCTTCTCTCACTCTAAGTATTTCCACCTTATACTTTCTAGAGAAAATAATGGTCATGAGAAAAGAACTAATTTTGCCAATACCAAACATATAAACAACCTGTATCTATTGCCTTCATTTCCTTCTTCCTCTCTGTTAAATGGAGAAGTTGTCCATCTTCCCCAGGCTGCTCCCTATAACTACACTTTGGATCCCACCCATTACCATGTACTCAATTTTTCATCACCCTCTCAACTGGATCAGTGGTGACCCCTCATCTCTTTTACCTCCCACACCCTCTCCTCTCCTTTACAAATTCCAGGCCCAGTTCCTGGCTTCTGAGACAGCATTCCTCCGACCCTGCTCTTCAGCTCTTTCTTCTCTCTCTCCTGTGGGCTCACGCTCCTGTTCTTGGCCATTAATTGTTAGAACTAATCAAGGTCCTGACTTAGGCGATCTCACTCACATTTATGGCTCAGTCACCATCAATACAAACTACTCCCAAATTTATATTTCAAAAAATATATACATTTTTTCTAAGTTCCAACGCCATATTTCAAACTGCCTTCTGGACATCAAGATGACCTGCCCCTTCCCACACGCCCCCCCCAAATGACCCCATTGCCATAGGCCAGAAACCTAGGAGTTACAATGAAGTCCTCACTCTTCACTCCTTGACTCCAATCCATCACCAAATGCTATTGATTTTACCTCCTATAAAACTCTGGAATCTGTCCAACTCTCTGCAGTTCCACCAACACCTCAGTCCTCACAGACAAAAGCTCTCACCTAAGTGTATCTATCTCTCTTCCGTTTACTACTGAGTCCCTGAGGGATCAAGCCCTCTCCCCCTCTGCACCTCCTCATCAAAAATAAACCAAAAACAAACACCTCATCAGTCTTCTAGTAAAAGCTACAAAGTCCTGTAAGGTCTGACCTCAACCTGCCTCCGCCTTCATCACTTGTACCATACTCCTCCTCATTCTCTGCATATCGGTCATACTGCCCCCTGGGCTTTTTAGCCATTTTCCTCCTATTGTCACAGCGGCTCGGCACGCATTGTTCTTTATGGAATGGTTGGCCTCTCTTCATCTACCTAATGGAATTCTCTCTGAAGGTATCACTTCAGGCGTCTTTCCTCAGATAAGTCTTCCTGCTTATTTCAGCACTCAAAACATCAGGGGCCTGCCTCTCTTAAGTCGCACTTGTTTTACATTTCTTAGTGAGATACTTTGTTGAACATCTGTTTTCTCCACCAGATTCAACCCCCTGAGGTCAGGGACCATGTTTGGCTCACAATGTACCTTCCAAGCTTTGCACAGTAAGTATCAGTTGGACCACTAAGAAAAAGGCCTAGGTCACAGGTATGAGTCCAAATTTCTCAACGAGACTGCTCTAGAGAGGCAGGAGTCAGACATTCCCCTCATCTTTCTCTCTTTCACAGGGGCACAGAGCAGGCCCAGTAAAAAGCTTCCAGAAACAAGTCGGCCTCCTCAGACAGGACCCTAGTGAAGGCTGGGACACAGGCCTTTTCTCTCTGGGGGCGCCTGGCACACGGATGGACATGGTAGGCGCTCCGTGAAGTCAGCCGTCGAGGGCCCCAGGAAACCACAGAGACCCCAAAGCTCTGCTCCAGCCTAGAAAGGGAATCCAAGCTACCGCGTACCCGAGCTAGGATATCTGGGCCCACCACCAGCCCTTGCGATTAAAACTTCAGCTGAGAAGGTCCAGGCTCACCCCACACAACCGAGGGACCGCCCCCAGATTCCGCAGCCGCCCGCCCCCGACCTCCCCGATACCTACCAGGCGTCAGGTCCAGGTCTCCAAGCCGCAGCATTGCGCGAAACGCCAAAACCCAGTCAGCGCGCTTCCACCCACAAGACACAGCGTGCCCAGGCGGGACTCCACCTCGATCTACCAATCCTGGAACCGTACTCTCGTGACATCAGAAAGAGTTGACCAGTAACAGGAGACCATCTAGGGGGCGTTGCATGGGGGAGTATTGGAAACTGATTGGTTTCTCCAAGCCGGAAGTTCTAGGGGAAAGACTAAGTCGGAACCAATCGTGTGGTGCTTCAAAGTGTCAGCGCGGTTCGTAGCAGCGCTGAGGAGAGGGCTGCCGCCATGATAGAACAACAGAAGCGCAAGGGTCCGGAGTTGCCGCTGGTTCCAGTCAAGAGGCAGCGGCATGAGTTGCTGTTGGGAGCGGCGGGGTCTGGCCCCGGAGCGGGACAGCAGCAGGCGGCGCCGGGCGCCTTGCTGCAAGCGGTGAGTGAAGTAGCAGGCGGCCTTCGGCCCTCAGCCCATCTAAGCGCTGTACCGGGTGATCCCGCAACGGCCTGCACTGCAGGGAGGAACGGGAATCTCCGCCTGGAGTTAAAGCAGAAAAACACTGTAAAATCGACTAACACCCTGCGGATACTCCATACGTTTCCCTGTTTGATGCCCGTTCTCAGCGTCTCGACCTTCCTGTGAGGTGGCGTTGGAATTAAATTTAAGGACATCGAGCCCCAAATCGAGACCACAGTTTGCCCATCCTAAATCTTCCGGGGATTCGGCATAGATTAAACATTCAGAAAAGGGTGTAGAATGGGTGGATGGATAATGAATGAGTGAGGAAGATTGAATGAATGAAGGAAGGAAGGAAGGGAATTAATGATACTAGCTCGCTTTGGGGCGGGGCAAGTTGCTTTTCTCTTTATTTCTTGAATTGTTAACAAGAACGGAGGAATAGCATTCATTGAGCCTTTGTAGTAAGTGCCTTTTTCAAATGAAAACGCCATTAATCTTACAGAGTTAGGAACTGTTATCCACTTTGTATATGGAAAAACAAACTTATTCTAGTAGTGATAGAAACAGATTTTAAACCCAGAACTTGTGTCCTTTACCGCATTTCTTGTAAGAAGTATTGATCACACCTTTCCTGTGCTGTTAGGCTCAGATAAAGAAATACGTGTCCTCTCTCTCAACTCCTCAAGGAAATCGGGCAGGCACCGTTTTCAAAATATATTTACAGTTGCTGCCACTTCTACCACCTCCGTCTTAGCTCCTCTTCCAAGCTATTATTACCTCCCCTGGCGTATTTGCAGTGAGGTCCTCTGGTATTCCTGTCTCTGCTCTTGTGTGGTCAGTCTGTTCTCACTCCAGCCAAAGGAATCCTAAACTCCAGATTGTTACTCTCTGCTGAAAACTTTTGACGACTCTCCACTTCACTCACTCTCAAACCAAAATCCTTACAACCTTTTGTCCTTTTTGCCGTTTCCTCTCTCATCTGCCATTTTTCCATTGCTCACGCTTGTTGTAGTCACACTGGTTTTCATGCTCCCGCCTGAAATCCTTTGCATTTGCTGCTCCCTTTGCTAGAATACTCTTCTTCCAAATGTTCAGGTGGTTTGCACACTCAGCTCCTCCAATTCTTTGTTCAAATATCACTTTTAATCAGGGCTTTCCTGACCCCCTTTAAATTGTAGTACCCCATGCTCACTAGCTCACATTGCTGCTTTGTTTTTCTTCATACCACATACCTCCATCTATATGTTTTACTTGTTTTCTCTCCCTCTCTCTGCTTCCCACTAGAACACAAACTCTGTTTATTTTCGCAGTGCCTGGCACATACTATTTTTTTAAGTAAATGAATACATTGGAAACTACTAAAGAGCTTTGGGAATTACTGATAATGTACTTACTTGTTGATCTATCTGACAAGTAAGAATATCAGCCCAGGTTCCAGCGTATTGCCCTAGCCTAGACTTAGTGTCAAGACCATAGTGAAAAGGACTATGGTCTACTTTCCCAATAATCTGTACCTCGCAATGCTGTTGGGAAGCTCAGTTCAATCATGCGTTCGTTAAACAAGCTGGAGATTGGGGAAATAGTGTTGAGTGCCACAGGGAGGATCCCTGCAGTTTCAGAGCTTTTCTAGTGAGGAAGACGAAATACGTAAACGAGCACAGAAGGAGGGTAATTTCAGCTGATGTAAGTGCTGTGAGGGATACAGTAGGGTGAGAGGGATACAGAGGGGAGGTTGGTGCTGCCTTCATTGAAGTGGCTGAGGAAAGACTTTCTGAACAGGAAACATTTGAAAGGAGCCAAACGGGAAAATGTAGGGGAGGGGATTCCTGTCTGGGGCAACCAGTGTGAACATCCTGAGGCAGAAACGAGTTTATCATGTTGGAGCAGTTCAAGGTTGGCTACAGGGCAGGGGCTGACTGAGGGAGGAGCACAGTAGAAGAGGCTGGCACTGGAAACTTGAGCAGGAGAGTATCAAAAGGGAGGCACACTTTATGTGAGAAGAGTTGCAGTTCTCACTGTTCCCCTTGTCTTTTCCCTACTGTCCCCACCCCCAGTTTTTCAGCTTCCTTTGCTGGTATGCGATAACTACTCTGTATGTCTCTTTTTTGTTCAGGGGCCTCCAAGGTGTTCCTCCCTTCAAGCGCCAATCATGCTTCTCTCAGGACATGAAGGGGAAGTGTACTGCTGCAAATTTCACCCCAGTGGATCCACCTTGGCATCTGCAGGATTTGACCGACTGATATGTAAGGCATAGTTTTTTCATTTGGAGTAATTACTCTCAGCCGAATAATGATTATTTTTTAAAGTCTTTGGTGCCACCATAGGTATCAGTCTGATCACATAACAAACTGCTGGCTAACATGTTAAAATAGGGTCATGAAAATGCCAAACGGTCTTGGTTGTAGAACTCAGGATCCGACTGGTAAATACAGAAGGAATTCTGTTACTAGTTGGAAAGTGAATTGCTCTAGTTTGAGAACATCTTCCTCAGGGAGGCAGATCTTGACCTGGTTTAGCAAGATAATAATTCCAGGTTTAACAAGTTAATGGGAATAGTGAAGAGAGAAATAATTTTTTTTCCCCAAAGGTAAGAGGCCCTCCTCCTGATTCTCTCTCAGAATCTTAGCATATGGGAAGGAGAGGAAGAGCTTAAAAGGGGCACCTCACTTGGTCAGTCTACCTATACGTCATTAGGATCTGCTACCAGATTCTCAGCTTCTAGTTAGGAACACCCATTTCTGAGAAAGAAGTAGAAAAAAATCACTTTAGGGGAGTTGTGAGAAAAACTGACAAAGAAGGCAATGAAAGCCTCTGACTTATTTCTTCTGGCATCGTTTGCCACCTTGTGAGATGAAGTGAGTCCTTCAGCTCTTTGCACCTCAGGGTGGATGATACTGTTTAAGTATTGTAGTTCAGGTGTTCACTGTTTTGATTCAGGTGTTGTAGTTCTGTGATCTTTAAACTTTCCGGTGGCCAGCATCTGGAAGGCTCAGGCATCTTTGCAGAACATCCTTGAATTATTGATATGCTTCATTTTATCCAACAAACTAGAAATCGTTTTATTAGCAAAAAGAAAAAACTACTGTATATATGTACCTTATTATGTATGGGAGTGCTCCTTAATAATTCTCATTAAACTTACTCCTTGCCAGAGCAAGCTCTCTGAGGACAGTAACTGTGTCTATTCATTTACCTCATTTTACCCCAGCACCTGGTATGTTATAGGTACTTCCTACATGTGAACTGAGTAATTGAGTAATTGTAGTATAGTCATTGCTATATGGCCTTTAAGTCATTGGCAGCTTCCTATGTTTTCCATAAGTGCCACTATAAGAGACAAGCAATAGTGAGTGTCAACTTTATAAATATAGTAAAATAACCGAAAATTTAAAAAATTATATCCACTAAGTAACTTACCTTATGAAATGTTAAAAATAAAGTACCCTTTCCATGGCCAGTACTAAGTTTTTTTGCTTGGTAATGCTCACAGAACCCCTGTCTCCCTAACAGTGTTGTGGAATGTCTACGGTGACTGTGATAACTATGCAACATTGAAGGGACACAGTGGAGCAGTGATGGAACTGCATTATAACACAGATGGCAGGTGAGTGTTCCGCATGGTGGAATGACAGCCACCGCTTCTGCTAACTCTTCTCGGCATCCTTTCACCTTTCACCCGTGCGTTTTCTCTCTCAGGAGACCATGCTGTGAAAAACTGCTGCATTTGGGCAGTTACTTTATTTTGTCACTGTCACTCCAAGTAAGGTGTTTACTGTTGCATATAGGCATTTATCAATATGTCACCTCTGTCATCTAACATATCAACATCTCAAACAAACTTGTTTTCTTAAGACATAAATTTTATGTAGAAATTAGCTATTTTATTATAAAAGTAATAAAATACTATTTTGAGAAACTTAAAAAAAAACAACACAAAAATGAAAAAAATAACCCATGTTCCTACCAGCCCAAAGATAATCACTGTTAAAATTATGATACATTTTTCTCAAGCCTTTTTCCTACTCAAAATTGTGTGGTTTTTATAAGCCATATTTACAATCTTGTTGATTTTTCCCTTTATTCACCTAAACATATCTGTCATAACATACTATTTATTGCAAACACTTTAATGATTGCATAATTTCAGAATAACCATGGATAACATAGGAATGTGTTTATACAAAGGTAATTGATCCCATCCGGTATTTCAGTAAACGTTTCATTGTTTTACACCTTTGACCTTTAAGACCTTAGGGTTCCCTGAATCAACTGGTGCACAGCCTTGTATATACTTTTCCTATTAATATTTAAGTAAAAGAAGCCCTCTAAAATAATTATAACTTAGGAATTATCCTTAGACAAAATTAAAACTTTGATTTTTTTTAAGATTTTATTTATTTAGTTTTAGAGAGGGAAGGGAGGGAGAAAGAGAGAGAGACATCAATGTGTAGTTTGTGGGGGTCATGGCCTGCAACCCAGGCATGTACCCTTACTGGGAATTGAACCTGCGATGCTTTGGTTCGCAGCCCACACTCAATCCATTGAGCTACGCCAGCCAGGGCTAAAACTTTGATTTAAGTGGGAAAGATAGATTGCTGATATATGTATTCA